AACTGGGGGACAGGGTGCCCCAGGATGCTGCCTTATATACATGAGGGAAAACCCCCCAGGGACCGGTAATGGACCCCTGGTACCTAGCTGGGTAAGGATTACTAAGTATCATGTGCCCTATGGTGCGATATGGTGTTATCGATGATGTCATAGTCTGGCCCTGCCCTGCCCTGGGCCTAGGGTCCAGAATTGACCGGCCTATGGCCTAGTGCCTGAGCCTAGCTCCTACCTATGATGTCAGAATGATGTCATGGTCCAGACAGAGTCTGGTTTCTATCTAGAAAAGGTCCGGCATCAGAGTCCAGACTGATGTGTCATGAACAAGATCATGTGTCGCTTATTTAAGCGGATAACCCCTTAGATATGCAGATGTACCCATATGCGGACGGATAAGTATGGATAAGTCCCTAGACCCTTCAATATGTCCGCAGAAATAGCGGAAAAAGTAGGTAAAATTAGGGAAACTGTGACACAGGTCGAGGATTCTGCCATGACCATCCAAAGGGCCGCAAGTATTTTTCGGTCTTGGGAGGACCTCACACGAATAGTCCGATCTTCCCAGTCCTCGGATGCTGAATAGCAGGCTCGCCACCTTATTGTAAGCGCTTCTATAAGTATGACCAGACTGGTAGTGTTTTATAATACTTAGACAGCAGTTTGATGTCAAATAATATCCCAGCATACTAGTGACGCCACGGGATGTCTTGCAAGGGCTAGTAATGCGCCGACCGTGACGTGCGGGTTTGCATGGGTCACGGGACCTTATTTGCTTCGTACCTTTTTGCTGATGGCCTGTCAATCTCACTCACGTTGCGCTGTTGTCGCGTTCAGCTCGAAGTGCTCCTGCCGGTTCATGATGCGCGAGATAAGTCTTCAGCAAATATTTGCCTGCTGTTATCACACACTACATCGACTTCATATGCATTCTACTCTGGCCTCGTAGTAGCCTATGTCCCGCCTCCTCGCCAGCCCTTCTTGGAAGCCCTGCTGCCGGCCCTCCTCCTGCGCGCGCGCTGCCTCCGCCCCCGCGTCCGCCCTATCTGCCTCGAGCCGGTTGACCACGCCCTGCGCGCGAGATCTCGCGCTGCGCCGCGTCGAGGCACAGCTTGTACAACCGGACCTCCTCGGTCGTGCGCGCCGTCTCGCAGGCGGTGCGGAACTGGCGCAGCACGTCCATGATGCGGGCCTCCGCGTCGTCCGCGCGGTGCGTCTAGTACGCGCTTCGAACATTGTGTAGCGGGAGCTCACTTTGTTGAGGCGCCCTGACAGGCGGCAGACCAGCCCATGCCAGTGCCTGGGCACAACCATCAAGGCCTTTGAGAATGGAGGGATAGAGCCGCTGACGCGCGGTCTCCCTCGACCTTTCTCACACTCCTCGCTGTGGGGTAACCGACGCGCCATGACGCGCGAGGACTGAACACACAATGTCCGCTACTAGCCGAGCTCTAGGTCCACCCGAAACCTGTAGGGCACTGACACTGAACAATTCACTGGATGATTTTGTATGAGGGCGCGGAGTCTGCTGCTAGCAGGAGCCACCCGTGGTTCGGTTACACTCTACTGGTACCAACGTTGTACGTAGTCTAAACACGAGGAATTGACACAAAAGACCTCCCAAATCGGCACCCAGGAGCCAATTCCTATCCTGAGGAATCCTAATCCATGATTGGCGGCACTGACTGCCCGAGTAGGGCATAGTATACTGACAGCGGCGGGCACAGACGGCGGCGGGGCATATGCGACGGCGGATGCGAGCTCCAAGTCGAACGCGATTCGATCTCGGAGTTCGAAAGAGGTGTCTGAAACTGCATTCTGCATCTGGAGAGGACCCCGGCGAATCCCCCAAGAGCTCTGATCCCGCGCGGACCCACCTCCGGGGGTCAGCCCATGGTCGATTTCGGGGGAACTTCACATAACCTCGCCTGATTCCGGTCAGTTTTGGGGGTAAATGGGATCTAACGTCTAAACATTGCAAAAAAGGCGAGAAATTGCAAAAAATCGCGTGCGCGATTGTACCATTGTCACAAGGCCGTACATAGATTTAGAAGTACCGACTACTACACTGAGGCCACTGATTGACGTGGTACTAATCTCTCTACTTCGGATCTTTGTATTTGCACAAGATCATTAGACTCATAAATTCCTACTTACATGAAGTTTGGTATCGAGAACCGATAAGTAAAGTAACATAGCGACGAAGCGGTATCAAGAAGCAATCGAGTGAGACGTCACCGGTATCATCGTACCTTTCCGGCACATTTCGGCACCCGTTCCGAGGCCGGATGGACCTTATGTTCGGGGGTCGAGGATCATACCTCGCCCCGGACGCCTGGTTTCGGGGGCACCTGGCACATAACCTGACCGCCGTCCGGGCCCCGTTTCGGGGGTTTGAGATGTAAGATTTTGGCTCCAGAGGCCCCCTTTTCGGGGTTTTCGGGATCAGAGCTCTTGGGGGATTCGCCGGGGTCCTATCTGGAGGGCCCCCCCCTCCAGACTTCCGATCTGGAAGGGGTTGTCACGGACCGAGCTAGGTGAACCAGAGATCAGCCGGCATGCCGACGAGATTTTTGAACCAAATCTATTCTGGAAAGCCCTCCAGACCTCTGCGGGAAGGCATCCATTGCCGCGATAGCAAAGACACCAGCCTTGACGCGTGAGCAGTGATTTTGTTCATCCGGTCCATTCATTTCCGCCAGGCGGCCAAGAAGAAGTGTATTAGTCACTCAGCTGCGTGTATATAGGATACATGCGGCAGCCGTTGCCTGGGCCTCTCACACGACACCCAGACTAGGACAAATCTGCGTCCTAGTCGGGGTGTCGTGCGACACAAGAGACACGTGTGAGTACATCCCTGTGGGCGCTATACCGAACAACACATGCCTCCTTACCTGACGAGCAAACGCCTGCTCGCAATGGGATGCGCCGATAGATCCGAAGCTTGAATGACAAAAAGAGATTACTGCATACGTGTACGGGCCCTATTGTGGTGTCACTATATCCCTGTCGGAGCTCTGATCCGGAGGGCTAGGAATACGGCGAGAGACGTCTGTCTTTATTCGCTGCTCGACGTGTTCTTAAATACATGGGCCGGTAATCTACCCTAGTCAGGACCCCTATAGTACAACAAGACAATATGAAATACGGGAGTCACGTAGGACTGGCATCTTGATCGTACATAAGAGACCTGACTCGACCTCCCTGAGTCTGACGTCGGTGGTGAGACATCGGGACGCGAGACAATAAGGTCGAGTCTTATCAATGTTCGCGCGGACGGCGCGCTATCACAGGCGGCGATAAGCCAAACTAGGAAAGGAGTAAACAGAGCCAAACCGAGGACGAACCTGGGGCCCAACACTATGTGGCTCACCTGCCTGTACTCGCGGCTGAAAGCGGCCCGCTAGAGTGATATCACAGCAGGTACTGCTTCTCACGTACAACTATGCTCAACTTTGTGAACCCCAGGTTTCAGTCAAATCACGCTGGCTGCCTGATCGCTAGATCGGTACCTAACAGGATAGGCAGCTGAGCCAAACAAGGCACGCACATGCGGGTGGCACCGCGGTCTATCAGTTTATAGTCAGCAGGAGAATTGAGGAGCTAGACGGAGGACAATGCATGTGCAATGATTTATCCAGGCTGATAACGTGGACGGGAGCCGTTGCCAAGAGCTGAAAGTAGGTCGCAAGGCGCAGCGCTACACTACACAACGAGATACTGGATATGGCCATGATCTCGGCTGTCTTCCCGTACTGGGTCACTCAAGTAACCTTGTTTGAAAGTTCATGGAATTGAATGAAAGCAGAAGAATGGGCTGCTATGAACGTGAGCGCTGAGCTAACTGTCCTTAGAGCTATGGGCCCTAGAGCCCCTAAGTCATCCTATGCGAGCCCGACGGCCGGTGACCAAAGATCAGAACCAGATATAGTAAGTACCGCGTGATGTAATACGGAAACGTTATCCGAAGTGTATTGGAGAGATGCCACAGCTTCCAACATCGTGGCGTCGGGGCTGCTTGGGCATGAGGTACTCGCCCAGCCAATTCTACACGAGCCTGGGGGCGGCGGGGACATACCGCACCAATAAGTGGCCTGCGAACCTTCGCATAACTACATATCTTAAATCAATGGCATCTATTACACAATGCCGGAAACAATCTGCCTGCTTTCGCTGCACGCCGACTCCTTTTGGTCACTCGTATCTCTTGATGGCCTTGCAATCCTGCTATGATTGAGAATTAACTCCGCCGTCCCTGCGGTACTAATGAGCAGTAGCACCGCATGGCAGCATCGCCGACTCCGGGCTTCGCATCGTCTCCCACCTAACCAGATACCAGGACATGCGGCATTCCTAGTGCGCGCTCTCGTCATCGTTAACGACCACACGCTGAGCAGGCACACGGATGTCAGGCTAGATCCCTCATATGCTTCGAGATTGCATGTAGGTCTTTGAAGGCCGCCGAGCGCTGATGCACCAGAACCCCTTCATAGGGAGCCTTCTATCCAATCATAAGCTTTGCAACACAAGAACGAACGACCGTCGTGTTCGCGAATTACGTGACCTGATCGGTGTGGTCTCCATTCTCTGAGAAGCAGGGACCGAAGCAAGAAGCCATTGCCTATTCCGGATCTCGCACTGCCCTTTTCGGCCCACTTGACTCACCATCTGAGGCCACGGTACCTGTATCCGCAGGCATCTTCCAGCGAATTCTGACGAGCGCCGAGAAAGTGGTGCCCTCGGCCACACTTTGAGCCAATGGCACCACACCGTCAGGTGTTGCCGCCCGGGGGTCACCCAGGGTACCATCGCGTGCTTTCCGGATGAGCCTAGCCAAAATCGCGATTAGCGCGTGAGGTGAAAAGGTCGAAATAAAACGAACTCGGCCATTGCCTCTGCTTCCTCAATGAACCCACGGGGATCAGCGCATTCTCCTCCTTCGGTCAGATCGAACGAGTAGCTGACAAGGGGCACGACATCGATATCATCAACTTTAGCACGAAATGGACCAAGGACGGCCTCAACGATGGCCTCAGTGTCGGTATTGTTGTCAGCATTAAGCACGAGAAATTCAGCGTCGGAATCGCTGTCGACACTGTCAGGGTACTCTGTGTCAGTGTCGCTATTGAGCGTAGGTATACGATCATCTTCTGTAGTGATGGCAGCGTCAAAGTGCTCAGAGACAGCATCCTCGTGCGGACATAGCGCACTATCTTGATCCTCGCTGCAGTCGACCGCCTGAAGCCAGTCTCGCACATTCACAGCGTCAATAGGAGGGACAGGTGAGTCAGGGTTCGCTACGATCTCTGAGAATGTTGGGGTCTCCTCCGTTTCCACAGGCGGAGGCGGAGGGCCTAAAAATAGTGTGATGGTCAACTTCACATCGCAATATGAAGTCAAAAATCATATTCACTCTGCTGTGCGCGTAATGCTTGGTGCTGCGCCCAATCCTCACTAAGGTATTGTTTATGTCTCGTCCTTTCCTTGACAGACAGTCTTACGGCATCGCCATAATCTATGTGACGAGTAGGTATGCGGACGGTCGCCCAAACGGAAGAATGCTGATAGCAATTCGGGAACGGGAATGGCTTTGACGGATGAAGGGGTTCACGACCCGCTGGATGTTCGCTACAGGGCTCGATTGGCGTGCACATACTTGATGTTGTGAACTTCTCAGGCTGGTCTCTGGGCATGCCAACCCCCGCGAACTGTAACCTACAACGATGCCACGGATTACGACGAAGAGGAAAATCATCGATCTATCATCCTGCATTAGTGAGTGTTTGGCCAAGGACGCTGAACACACACCGAATTTACAAACGCTATATACTTGTGGGGTGTCAATTCACTTGCGACAGCCGTAAGATGCGGATCGTCCACGCATTCGGCCATGCGTACGGGATCCAGCCATAGTGCGATATATGAGCCATGAGGTGGAATATAGCCGGTTGTAGGCAAGTCTGACTCCATAGTTGCTCGTCTTGAGTAAAGCACAGGGTGAGGGTGAAGGTTCAAGAAAAGCGACTGGCACATGTGTGGTATTCCACCTGCGCCGCGGACACACAACCAAACAATAGAGGCGCTGTGACCACCTGATCACCAATCTCGGCATCGCTGTCGTCCAGTGCAGCAAAATCTCAACGGAAGTATCCGCTGTCACTGGTCAGACTACAACTTTGAATTAGGTACATCCAAAATTGCCGCTTAAATCTCGCTGGAAAACAAGCGAATTTTCGCTGCTCTTGAGCGCTCAAATGTCGCTGAAAGTGTCACAGATAACTAAGCGTGACGCAGCGGTGATATGATACGTTCTCGGTTCGCGAAGGGCTGACCAGCCAATCAGGTTTGGCGAATCATGCAAGCGTGACATGGCTGTAAGCCAGAATTTGCGAGCGCTTGCGCCGAGCAGTCGCTTACTATGGATTACCAGTGGATGCCCCCTCTCTTGATGGCCAGGTAAATACCTCGTTACACAAATGTGACGGTGCCGATTAAGAGGTCCGCTCGGCTCCCAGGGCCGGGGCCTGAACTTTTTCGTGGCGTGTGGCTCCACGGTGATCGACAAGTCCATTTTTTAACTCCGCCCGCGTCCGTCGTGGCCATCGTGCTCTCAGGCGTGACATCGCCATCAAACCCCTCGAAAGAAGGGACTCATCCGTTCGCTCTGATTTCAGCTGGAGGTGGAAGCAGGCATACGAAAACATAGGGGTCCATATAATTTCGAGGGCAGGGGAGTGCCCGGTTGTTGCCCATCACAAACCTGGCCATCCAGAGGGGGGGCATCCACTGGTAAACCATAGTATTTGTTGCTGTTCGAGGAGGGAGCTCAGATTCTGCTCGCTTCTTTTGGCCGCTAAAATATCATGCCAGGGTCACTAGGTCTTTCACATCCGAAGGAAACTGAGTGCACGCCGAGACCCATTTCGGATATATGTGTAATTCAATAATACATTCCATCTATCGAGACAGGGCTTACGGTGATCTTCCGTTGTCCTCAACAGCCTAAACGCGGTGGTCCCTGTCACTCCTCCCCTCGAACCGAAAATATTGACCCGAAACCGGAGATCCTTGCTAGTCCCTCATGCGGGCGCTTACGATACGCTCATTTCTCTGAAACATGGATTTATGGAAGACCTTGTCTCGTACCCAGCCAGTTTACCATCACCGCCGATTACCCGGTGCTGGGATGCGGGATAAAACCGGCTAGGTACGAGACAAGTAGGACCCTTCAGCCTCGAGGCTCCAGCTTCTAGCGCTGGAGAACCCCGACGAGAATGTGGTCTCCTAGTACGAAGTAGATAGAAATCACTGTGCACTCAAAATGCCCATGACTATAGATTCGGATATGTCCTTCGATCTCGAAGAAGCACTAGTGGGAAGACCGAACACCGTTCTCTGCTCAAATCATTGAGTATACCATATTGGTTCGACCGCCACAGAAACACAATATAAGTCGCAATGGATGTTCTGCTAAACGTCTCCCCAGACGTCTGCCAAGCGTCGTCACCTCTCCCACACTTCCCCCCTATCTCATCTGACTATGGAAGCTATACCCGACACCTCCAGCAGTTATCAAGTGGGAGAGATTCGCATTGTCCGGATTGGCATCCATGCCCCCTTTGAGATAGTGCTTAATTTCCATTCCTCTCAACAATCTGTCCCATCAACGTCTGTCCCATCGACAACATCGGTGAAGTCGTCTCGTGGCAAGCGTCGACCCTGCATCGTGATGGAAATTGATCCGTGGGGGGGAATCCAAAAATCTGCTTAATAGCGACCCTCGGAGGTACTGAATTATCCGCCATGCCCACGGTGTGGCAGCACTTCTGTGTTGTCGTTGATCCCCCAGTCAACCACGACGGGGACGGCGTTCGTGTATTCCCTCCGATGACTCCTGAGGAGGGCCGCATCTCGTATGCTATTGCTCTTCCATTCACGCCAAAGCAACGTGTCGGACGCCCGTTCGACCAGTTGACCGGTGACTCTGGCCAGAAAACCTCACGCCGTCTCGACAGTGACGGAATGGATCGATTTACGGACACTTGCGAGAGGTTGCTTGAACGCTGGCAACAGCTCGAGGAGGCGGACCCGGGTTTCCGGGACAGAGCGTTCAAAGAGTTTCAGGTATGGCATCGCAAGATCGCAAGTGTTACTTGTACTGAACAAAACCTTGGACAGGATAGTCGTGCAGCTGAAAAAGCTAAACGTGAAGGCAAGAATAAGGATGGGAATGTACCGGTGCGTTATCATCTATCTGCGCACAGGGATGATCTTTGATGGAGTTCTCAGCCCCAGCGTGGATCCTAAGCCGTTGTCGGCAGTCGCAGAGGTGTCTGGGGAATAACGTGATACTAAGGCGGTCAGTTACTGATAGCTATCACTTGCGATGGTCGCTGATATCCGCACCTACCGCTAGGAAGACTTCATCCCAGCGAGACCGGAGCTGGTTAGCCGTAGCACCTGTATTGGCAGGAGGCAATGTATTACTTCACCGACGGCAATACTGCGTCAAGTATTCTTTCCATGCAAAATGGCGCGAACGGCATGCCGTACTGCGACTCTTCATTGAGGGTGCATGTCATAAGTAAACACAGCGATTGCAAAGCACAGCGGGAAATGCATTGTGGAACGTAGCATGCTACTACGGTCTCATAACACTGACGGTTCTGCTTTTAAGTAGTTTCTCACAGCGCCCTTAATGGTGCTCAGAATTGCCTTGCGTCGCGCTTTGTTTTCTGGCAGCTCATCCTTCCCCATTGCAAGTCCGTAGAGGTATGCAAAGTCAGCCTGCGCAACCAGTGGTAGCCGGCCAGAAACCTTATCCTTTTTCTTGGCGGTCTTCTCCTTGAAGTTCCGTGCGAAATCATTGGATATTATATCTGCGCGCTCGACGACGTCCGAGGGCACCCCAGCCAAGCTGGCAACGTGTGTGCCGAAGGAGGAAGATGCGGCACCTCCGATAAGCTTATAGAGAAAGACCAGCTGTGACATATGCATTCAGAGTCGTGCTGCAATTGACTGTCGGTGAACACTACTTACCTCCCGCTTCTCGTCATCCACCATTGTTTCCATATGCATATTGCGAATGTTGGGATGATATGCAAAATCGTCGGTCAAGGAACCATAGTGCGTCGCGAAAAATGAGAGAGCCAAGGTATGCGTCGCCAGCTGGTGTAACACAGCCTACGAACATAATACGGTTATCAAATGAGTCCGAGGGTCATCCTACGGCCCACTCACCCCTGCAATAGCCATCCCGTCCTGCATGGCATGCATGAGTTGGCGCTATGTCAAACGAGAAGTGCGCTCACATATGTCGAGGTACCTCTCCCCAATTCTACATGCCTAGACGCCATTCGCGTCAGAGTGCACATCACACAGTGGTAGTGTCACGTACCGTCTAAGATCACAAACGACTGTGGCGTGGCGTCTCGCAAAATCTTACAGCTTCAAGCTGCCTCAGCATCGAGTGTAGAGAAATAGGCAATCCTCACCATTCATCAAGCTCAACTTTGAACGTACTTGCATTGGAAAACATGTTGTCGTAGGCTCCCATGCGAGTAAGAATAGCATCGACAGGACATAGCCTAAGTTATCAGTATGTAAGTATGTAGGACTCCTATTGTACTGTAATATTGTGCCTACCGCGCTTGTCTTGCTGGCACAAACATTCCAAGTTGAGCCATGATCTAATATCAATCCGCCCATCCGTTAGACTGGACAACGATTGTCGAGCGGCAGGAGATCTGACTTACGACTCCAGTAGCAGTCATGCGCATGGCCTGAGTCGTCCGTTATAATCGCCCCTATCCAGTGAGAATAGCGGAACTCACTGTAGATTTTCCTCTGTGTACGTCCAAGATCGCCATGAGTATACGTAAATCTAGGCTTGCCAGAGGACCTTACCCCATATTCGGTCCTATTCAAGGAGCATCAGTCAATCCACGCAGATCCAGAACACAAGTTAAACAAACCTGTAAGCAAAGCTATTCTGCCCACGTCACCGCCCAACTTGACGTTATTGGGTATGAAGTCGCCCTTAAGCCCGGTGGTTGCACAGAGAGCAGGATGCCTAAGCTCCTCAAAGTCAACCCACGCGGCGTCACCTTCGATCAGCTCAGGTCTGCATGCGGGTTCCCCAAGAGCACTCGAGGCCTTGGCCAAACTGAACAGGCAGTCCATTTCCGAAAGGACGCGAATAGCATGCAACCACACTGCACGGTCTGTGTCAAACTCCGCATACAGTCGGTTTTTGAATTCCCTGATTGCAGTGTTACGATTCTCGCGCGCTTCTTTCAACTGACGGATCGTCGGCTGGAGAGAGGGCACCACCCAGCGCACAGCCGCCTGCATGCACCGGTCCGATCAACAGTGAGAGATCATAGGGTGCGCGATGCTCACTTTCGTGCTGCCATTCTTTGTCCAGTCCTTCGGAACATTCTTCTGACTGGGTTTGGTTTGTACAAGGTAGATTTCCTGCGTAGCACGAACGTCAAGATTTCATTAGTCAGACTATAACGTCTCTCACACCTTTGTTCCCTGGGCACTGTGCCAATATGACAAGTTGACGCTAGCCACTGGCTCAGCTATGGCTCGACTGAAAAATGCGTCGCAGCATACCCAAGTTTACGTTCCATCGCTTTGAGTTCATCGTCGAGCTCCTCCTCCAGGCCTCGTATTTCATCCATGATGTCATCATAAACCTTGTCCTTTCCATCCTCTGGCACTAGTTCGTCGGCGTCTTGATGAAGGGAAGTCACAACCAGGCACTACCAGAGGACGAAATACACGTACTTTCTTCTGCCTTCTTGAACATTGCAGTTACGTGTCTGATGTTCGGCAGCAGATTGGGCGCAGAGCGAAGTAGTCCCAGAACCGTCTTCGATTCAAAAGACTCAGCTGATTCGGCCAGCTCAGACAAGCCGCCGCTAAGACTCTTGAAGGACTAGAATACCCACTTTTAACACGCGGTGATGGAGCACTGTAAGATGCATAAACCCTACTTTCAGAACCTTAAGGAAGTCTTTCACGCGACAATTCTTGGCATGTATGCGGGACACGATACGTTCAAGATCCGGTAAACCTTTCGCTATTTTCACAAATTCAGCTTCGAAGGTCGGATGGTCCATGAGATCTTGAACAGCTTCCAATCTTGCCGCGACATGGTCAGTCTAATGGAGGAATCTCGCATCGACTTGACTCACCTTGCGCTGATGTCGGATACGTCACGCAATGGCATGCAAGGCCACATACGGAATAGTCGCTTGCCTGATTCAAGACGCTAGTCAGATTTGCATGACTGAAAGAGTGTTGCTTCTGACCAGATGGGGTAATACAGCGCGAGAGCAACTTGAGCAATGAACCCTCCTCAGTGCCTTCGCTGTTCATGAGAACCTGTCGACTGTCATACCTTTCAGATTTCATTGAACGCCAAAGGAATACCCACTTCAATATGCGCAAGGGTCTGCCCATCAAGAACGAGGCCCTGACCACGCTTCATGGGGTCGTAGATATTGAAATTCTTCATGCTCAAGATCTCCTTGTCGATATTAAGAGTGTTGAGATACCTGTCGAATGTACTTGTCAACTTGGTTCAAACAGGTGCAAAATAGGACACATGCCAGATCATGGACCCCAAAGCTTCAATCGCACTCTTGCATCCTGCCATCTCCCGAATCGCTTCAGGCACAGCTGTGCTTAGACCATGCGCGGCATCGCTTAGATCATCGTCGTCGGTAGACGCGGGATACAACTTCTTCAGTTCCTTAAGAGTCTTCTCATACGTGAGGCCCTCGCATTCACGCAAACTGGTCCACAGACAATTTCCAGGAAGAATGGCCTTAAGAAGGCGCGTCGTCGACACCGATAGGTTGCCCTTCAAAAGAGAGTCTCAAGAATTAATTTATGGAACAATTATGCGAAAGGGGATATAGTACATTCGTGAAGATAATCTCTTTGGGACGAAGTTGCCGCATGAGCGTCTCGAGCCTAGTACGGCAGACATCATCCTCAAAGGCGCTCAGATTGAACTCGCTGGTAGAGCTATCAAGGACGCAGATTCCGAAGGCCTGCCGGCCATCCTTATCTTCTAGCGTCTCTTCCTCCTTGATGGAGACACAGTGACCGGCTTGCTCGTCGGTGAGCAGCGCCTCATCCACGAGAGTTCCGTTCGTGTACACCTTGTTCAGCTCACGCCTCACGATCTTGTCCTTGCCCTTGTCTTCTGCGGCCTTCCCGCCTTTCTTACCAGCAGCAAGACGCATTTCGGCTCCAAGTGCGGTCTCGGCCTGGTCCACTCGTCCTACTTTGTATCCTATGAGAGGATATGCCAGACAAGCACAGTTCCATCAATACACGACACTGCAATGGTGAAACTGTACAATACCTTTGGCGAGGAACTTCGCCGCCCAGAAGTTGAATGCCATCTCAGGCACGCCGACCTAGTCGAGGGTTACTTAAGGTCCCCAAGACATGGATACAAGCGTTTGAAACGTACCATGCTCATCTTGACTCGCTGCGTCAATTTCAGGTCAAACTCACTATGACCAATCCGGGCGTCCTCCTCGTACAGTTCTAGAAATTTGCCTTTCTGAAAGAATAATACTGTATCGAAATGATTTTGCTTGATTTCCCAGAACTACCGTGTGGTAAATGATGAGATGATTGTGTAAGCCGCCAACATTGTGAACACTCACTTGTTTCTCGAAAGGAGTGAACTCCTTCCAGGCCTGAGGTGGAATATACAAGGTACGCGGATCATATCCTGGCTGGCCTGGACGCACGCCGTCCTTGTCTCTTACGTCTTGTAGGAAATAGAACGGATCTTCCGAGCTCTTCTTCTCCGCCTTTTTGTCTTGTACGCGTCGTTCCGCTGCAGTCAGGAACGTATTGCTGCCGCCAGATGCCTGATCCTTTGTGAGGTATGGGTGCTTGGCTGTCTTCTTTGTTGCCTTCGGCCGCTCGGGGACGTCTGACTCGGCCTCAGAGACTGTAGAGCAATGCGCATATGCGGACAAACGCGAAGATGGGCGCGACGACTCTGTCTCAGACATACGGGACGACGCTCGTGAGCGACTCCGGTGCGAACTTTCATCTTCGTCCTCGTCCACATCATCAGGCACAATGAAATCGTCATCGTTTAGAGCGACTAAGAAGTGTTTAGGAAAACGCGCTCGCGTCGGTGAATAGCACTAACCTTTCCTAGCCTTGCTCTTCGTGGACGGTTTCTCATATTTAGTTAGTCGCTGCGAAAAGGAACGCACTCGAGACATGGCATCGTCATCGTCGCTATTGTCGTTATTGGGATCAGTTATCTCGCCAGAGAGCATCGTGGAAACGCGGGGCTTCTTCTGTGGGCCTTTCGCTGTACGCCCAGGAGAGCGCTTTCGAACAGACAACCCTTCCCTATACGCGACCGCGTCTATCTGGCCACCCTCCTCGTCAGATTCGTCGAGGACGATTTTGCGCTTTTGCCGCAGTGCAGGCTAGACACATAATGACTAAAGAGAAGAACGAGAATTGTTGTGCCACTCACAGGCTTGGCTGTACTCTTCACGCTTGCGCCATCATCTTCGTCCGACAACATGTCAATGTCGATGGGGTCACTTGTGGGTGGTGTGTCTTTTCCACTCCATCCTCCGTCTGAACTTCTGGTATAGGTTGCATCGACGCCAGACGACCGCGTGCTGCTTTTGGATAATGGAGTGGCAACCTCAAGTAGGGGCGAGTCTGAGGACGTGTCGTGAAGAACGTCTTTAGATGCGGAAGGAGACGTCAATTTCCCAGCCTTCTTCGAGCTGTTACTCTCGCATTTCTCAGGAGTACTGGTCGATGGTTTCCCAAAGAATGACATGAGGCTTTTCTGCTTGAGTTTGTCCGCACACTGAGCTTTAGACTGATTATTGGCGGGAGCCATGATGTTCTCTATTGTCTCAGTATGTAGCTGAAAGTCGTTCCCGGAGCGTAGGACCCCTAGAGAGTGGTTAAGGGACAGTCGATGCCAGCAACCATCCGAAGAGGGCAGCAATACTTTAAAGTAACACGCGCCCATTACGCGAACGCGTTATTTTGGCTTGTTTGCATTGCTCAATTAGCGCCGGTTATCGATCCACCAAATTCCCCGGGTTTAGACTCCATACGGCGTAGGTACATGCAGAGTGAGATCGAGCCGTCAGCGGCGCCTAATAGTGGGCAGCAAGAGCCAGAGCGCGCTCCTCCCACAAGATGAGTAGATTCTCCGCGCGAGTTTCCACGTCGCACCACTCAGTGAAATCTGCGAAGTCCGCGCTCAGGGACGACGTGAATGCCGGCGCCTTACGGCGTGTCCGGTGGAACTGCTGCCACCGAAACACGCGCTCTACAGTGTGAGCTAAGAGACGGGCATTCGCCCGTGAATGCGGCTGGCCGCGCTCGCAGTCGGCGAGGGCCTCGGCCAGGATCTCAGACCACCCAAAGGTAGAGACCATCGGGTTCAAGCGCAGGAACTCGAGGACATCATCCGCAGACCAGCCGCACTGGTCGCGGAGCTGACGCGAGCTGTGATCATGGGGAGCAGCCCGTTGGGATGCAGCGGGTGCCTTCGTCCGTATTAATACGGGCAACGAAACAATATATGATCGCGAGTCTCGAGCCCGCCCCCGCATGGACAGTCGTGGGGGCCCGGGATGTTGAACTGCGCGCGATACGCTCCGCACGGGAAATGGTTGGTCAAGAAGCGCGCCGCGCGCGCCGTGTCGTGGTTAGACATGCCGGCGTGGCGCAACAGCCATGTCGAGTTAGCAGTGGCCCCGTGGAGAGGGGGATCATTGGCCACCCAGAGGTGCCGGCCACGGTAAGCAGTGTTGTTCGCATCGAGCGCGACACGATCCCACTTCGATTTCATGCGAGCCCGGACACGGGCCAGGGCCATGGAATAGGACACGAAGTCTGGCTGGATGCCATCCAATGCAGCCTTCGCGAGTTCATCAACAAACTCGTTGGGCTCAATGTTCTTGTGAGCAGGGACCCACAACAGAAGCACCCAGCGGCGCGGATTCCCCGCCAGGAAAGCGCGCAGCGCCGAGCAAGCAGAGATCGCGGCCAGTTGGGATGGGCCAACCTGCGGGCGAACCAGCTGACGCAGGGCGGATCTCGAAGTAGTTGCATAGCATCATTTAAACATCAAGGAAAACAGCAACCTCCACTGCCAGATTTCTAGAACACCCATACAAAACTTGTGTCCGTCCATAATTTGACCGGTAGAGGGAGTGCAAACAAGCCGGCTTGTAAGTTTGCGGGGAAAGCGGTAATTCCACCTGCCACCGAATTGGTTATTCTGGCTCACAAACGACGAACACCCCTCGAACTCACACGCAATACAGCATTGGACGAGTTATTCTACAAGTCTAAATTTTGTTCTGGGTCCCTCTATTCGCCCTACTATTGAGCAGACATGTTTTGGTCTTTCCCAGATTTACCGCTGATAGCCGTTGATTTACAAGCCCCTGCCGTGTCCCAATGGTTGAGCCACGCTCAGCGGCCGAATGGGGTTATTCACAATAACTTACATACGACGTGGACAAGCTGGAGGGCATTCGCTTCTGAGCCGAGCTGAAGGCCCTTCAAGACTTGCTGGCTCAATGTCTGCCGCCCGCCTCAGCGGGCATCCGGTTATCTTGATGCGATGAAGGTACGCATACTAGCTACAAGAGAATCATGTAATACTGACAATGCCAGTACCACATTCAGGTATATGCCAAGTTGTACTGAAGTCATGTTGAAGAATTGTGACTCGACGTGAAGCGTACAGTACATACACATTGGTGGTCAAAGTGGATCGGTCAAGCAGCAAGCAGGGAGTCGACCAGTGTTACTTGAATTAATCTCCCTGATGGACAGCACCATGGCTATAAATCCTCAGCGCCACATTTTGTCTATGCCCCAATTTGGCGGTCTCGGGTCTCCTGAACACATGCCAACCATGCTAGTGGAGCGAAGGCGTGAGCCGTGGTGGCACCGACAGTCCTGGAGGCTATCTAGGCGTTTTAGAACACCTGCGATAGTGGCCACCTTTCTCAAAGCTGCATGTACCACCAAAAAGGCTACAGCTATCTGGCGCGCTCGTCGGGGTATAAAGATGCTGCTGTGCAGCAGCATAAGCCCAACGTCTCCAGCTCAATCAGACCTCGGTACTGACAAGTTGGTCGCGCCATATCCACACCTTCGCAATCTCCATCTCGATATGTACCTAGCAACTCTTTGCGTCCTGGCGTTGCTGAGGGCGGGTGTAGGTTATGCTCAGGATACCAATGTGACATAGACGTACCAGCAGATTGCCAATGCCATTTCCTCCGCGTCGTCCGTTTATTATCCCCGTATGTGTTTCTCGCCTGCCCAAGCTTCGCATGATGGTGACAGCCGCCTTATAGCGAGCCTCTCATACAAATCGGACATATATCACTATGCTACCTCAAGCACCGAGAATGCCACTTGCTCCGTGGAACCAGGCACCGCCGAGAACGTTGGCATAATAGTGCGCTTTTCACATTTTCGCTGAGAGAAAACACGACCGAGCACTTCCTTGCATGCAGCTTCAAATCCTAGGCGCGAACCAGGCGCCATTTGCGGTGCGCTACGATCATCAGATCCATATAGACCCTGGATTGACGCAGATGAGCACAGGTCAAAGGCGGTGGGCATGCGATGAACCCTGGATATTCGTCCACGACGGGCGTGCAGATTTCCATGACCAGATTCCACAGCGTCGTTAACGATGCGTCTACGAGCACAGCCGCAATCGGCGCTGGTCTTACCTGGGATAAAGTGTACTCAGCGCTCGAACAGTATGACGTGAATGTC